GGAAAAGGGAACATTTGTACACTGCTGGTGGAATTGTGTACTGGTATAGCCACTATGTAAAACAGTATTGAGGATTCTCAAAAAATTTTAAACAGAACTACCATATGATCCAGCAACTCTACTTCTGAGACTCTTTCCAAAGTAAATAAAAACATTGATTCAAAAAGGTATCTACACTGTTATGTTCATAGCAGCATGATTTACAATAGCCAAGACATGGAAACATGTGTCCATCAGTGGACGAATAGATAAAAAGTTGTGGAATATATACACACAATAAAATGTTATTGAGCCATAGAAAAGAAGAAATCCTGCCATTTGTGACAACATGGATGGACCTTGAGGGTATTATGCTAAGTGAAAGAGGACAGAGAGAAAAATGCTGTATGGTCTCACTCATATGTGGAATCTAAAAACAAACCAAAACCAAACATAGGAAAAAGGTCAGATTTTTGGTTACCAGAAGTGAGAGGTTTTAAAAGAAGGTGCTCAAATATACAAACTTCCAGTTGTAAGTACTAGGGATATAGTATACAACATAACTATAGTTAACATTGCTGTGTGATAGATAAAGTTGTTGAATGTAACCTTAAGTGTTCTTATCACAAGGAAGTAACAAATAACTGATAACACTTGGTGTGCTTTCATTATTTCCAGATAACAAAAATGACTTTAGAACACTTTAACCTAATATATTCTTCTTCACTTTATATGTTATTGTGGTTGCACACTTTAATTCTGTATACACTTAAATTTCCATAGTGCATTGTGTCAGTGTTACCAAAATATTTACCCTTTTTCCTGATTTCACTTCAATTCAGTGTGTCCCTCTAAGATAATTTCTTTCAGTCTAGCCAGCAATATTTTGGATCATGTTTTTGTTGGCCTGAAAGAAACCTCTACATCATTTTTGTAGAATACTTTGCTTGGCATAAAGTCCTAAATTTACAGATATTTTCTTTCGTCTCTGAAAATTTTATACAACAGTATTTTGACTTCCCTTTTCTATCAAGAAGTCAATTATCTATTTGTTGCTGCTTAGAAAACATCTTTAACTGCTTTTAAGACTTTTTCCTCGTCATTTATTTTCAACAGCTATATTATGATATATATATGTGTGTGTGTGCTTTTTATACTTACCTATCAATATTACTTTTGCCTCATATAGCTTTTTAAATCTATGGCTTTGTGCATAGTGTTAGAAAACCCTTAGCCATTCTTATTTCAAGTATTGCTTCTTCCCCATACGTTTGCTTTCTTTCTTGAATCCCAAATACATTCATGTTAGACATTTTCAGTGCTTTTTCCATTTTCTATCACATTTTGGTTCTCAGTGATTAATTTTGGAAACTCTCTGAGCTATGGTCTTGTTCAATATTGTATTATTTGACCATGTTCAATCATCTATCAAAGCTATCCACTGAGCTGTTAATTTAGATTTTATGTTTCTTAGTTCTATAATATTTTCTTGATATCCAGTACTTTACCAAAATTATTGCTCTTATTATCTGCCTTCTTAAATGTATTAAAGATAAGCTTTAAAATATCTGTGGCTGATAATTTCATTATTTATGTTCTGTAATCGTTTTCTATTGTCTGCTATATATTTTCGTTTCAATAACATTTTCTACATGTATCTGATAACTTTTTATATAATAGTTTTATTGAGATATAATTTACATGTCATATAATTCACCCATTTAATGTTAACAATTCACAGAACTGTGCAACCGTCACCTCAATCAGTTTTAGAAAAATTTCATCATCTCCCAAACCCAAATTAATTAGCAGTTACTCTCCAATACCCCCCCAGTTCCTCATCTCTTGAGACAAATACTAATCTATGTCTATTCTCGACTCTTTGCATAAATGGAATTATATGATATATGATATTTTGTGACTTGCTTCTTTTACTTAGCATGTTTTCAAGGTCCATCCATTTGTGTGTTTCATTACTGCATTTCATTCCATTGCTAAATGATGTTTCATTGTACAGATATACCAATTTTGATTATCCATTTATCAGCTGATGTACATTTTCCCACACAGTTTTGAGCCTATTGTGAATAATGCTATTAAAATTCATATACAAACTTTTGCATGGACATGTTTTCATTTTACTTTGGTATATAGTTATGATTGAAATTGTTGGGTCATATAGTATCTCTTTGTTAAACTTGTTGAGGAAGTACCAGAGTGTTTTCCATAACAGTTAGTATGGATCCACGATTGGCAATCACATTGTATTATTATAAACTTCACATTATACTTGCTAAGGCTGTGCTATGGTCTATTTGTGTCACCCCAAATTCATGTTGAAATCCTATCTATAAAAGTAATGGTTTTAATAGGTGGGGCCTTGGGGAGTTGCTTAAATCACAAGGGTGGAGCCCTCATCAATGGAATTAGTGCTTTAATAAAAGAGGCCGCAGAAGGAACTTTAGCCCACCATGTGAGGACAAAGCGTGAAGGCACTGGCTACGAACCAGGAAGGGATTCATTACCAGAAAACCTGACACCTTGATCTTGAACTTTCCAGACCGTGAGGAATCCATTTCTGTTGTTTAAAATCTACCCTGGCCATGGTGTTGATATCAGCAACCCAAATAGGACAGACTACCATAACAAAGTACAATAAACTGTGTGGCTCAAACAAAAGAAATTTATTGTCTCACAGTGCTTCAGGTGAGAAAACAGAGATTGAGGCGTCAGCAGGGTTGGCTGTTTCTCAGGGCCATGAGGGATCTGTTCCAAGTTTCTCTTTTGGCTTAAAGCTGGCCAAATTCTCCCGTCTCCGCATATCAGCTTCCTTACATGTATGAATCTGTATCCAAATTTCCTTTTCCAAATGAGGTTGCATTCAAAGACACTGGGGTCTAGGACTTGAACACGTGAAATTTTGGAAGCAACAATTCAATCCATAACACGATTATACACATGCCTCCTTTTTTAACAAGTATTTCATTACGTCTTTCACTTTCTGAAATAAAATCTGTAATATAACCAAATTATACACAGAAATTTCCAAAAAATTGCACAGTGCTCTGTCACATCAAGGGAAAATATGAAAGTAATTTAAATAAAATTTAAGTATTTCACTTTGCATGTAATTGACATGGCTTCATAGAAGACCCAAGGAAGAAACATATCTACATAGTTGGATATCTGTCATTCAGGCCTGTTTACCTGGTGGCTCAAACACGACAAGCAACTTGTACTCAGTGATGTGACTTGTCAAAAAACGATTAAATATTGGTTAATTTCAAACCAGATTGAAATAAAAATTTCACTCTATTTACAAATCAGCTGTATTTCCGGGAAAATCAATGCATAACATCTCTGCATAGAAATAATTTTTGAATGTACAGATTAAACAGAGTTAGACAAATAGTTTTGCATATTTCTTTTTTTTGACCTGCCTAGGTGGCCTATGAACATGTAAAAGTTGTGCAGGAGGCAAGACAATTATTTCCTGCACTGAAGAATGTCAAGCAACCCGTCTCCCCTCTTAATAAATAACAGTGGTGCCCGCATCATTGTGACACATTTCTAGACATCTCCTTGAGATGGCCTTGCCCAGAACGAGTTCAGACCTTTGAGACCACTGGGACCTGTCTGAAATTTTGTTGGGCCCCACTGAATTAAAATTTTAACTGATGTCAAGGTTACTATACTTTCAAGGGAGAAAAAGTTATTGTCAACTTCTTGACACTAAAAGTTGTCTGCAGTGGAGAGTAATACTTAATATACCCCTTATTCATAAATGTACAAATCTAAATTGCCATTCCAGTTGTTACTAATTATAGGCATGAAAATATAGAAAATGTGCTCAAAATCCATAATTGGGGTTGGCTTTCAATTTGTGTATTGCTTGGTTTTCCCTAGGAACCACTTCACTGTCTTGGAACTTCCAGCTTGGTATGTGTGTGTGAGTGTGTGTGTGAGTGAGTGTGATGTGTATTTATGAGTGTGAGTGTGTTATGTGAGTATATGTGTGTGTGATGGATGTGTACAAAATGCAACTGTAAAAAGAATGGAACAATTAGCTCTATGTGAGGAAGTGACTGCAAAAATAGGTGAATGTAACAAAAAAGAGATACACTCATGGAAACAGAGAACATTAGTGGTTACCAGTGGGGAGAGAGAAGTGAGAAGATAAGAGTAGGAGATTGAGACGTACAAACTACTATGTATAAAATAAAGAAGCCATAGTACAACATAGGGAATATAGCCAATATTTTATAATAACTATAAATGGAATATAACTTTAAAAAAGTCTTAAACACTATGTTGTACACCTGAAAGTTATATAGTATTGTACATCAACTATACCTCAACAAAAACAAAAATTTTAAAAATAGGCAAGAAATCTGAATAGATGTTTCCAAAGATCAACAAATGGCCAACTACATGAAAAGATCTTCAAAATCACTTATCATCAGTGAAATGCAAATCCAAGCCAACTGAGATATCTCACACCTGTTAGAATGACATTATCAAAATCTAAGAGTTAGAAATGCTGGCAAGGATATAGGAACCACTGTGGGAGAACAGGTGTGGCCTCACTTACCAAAGGACCTTTATGCCACGGGAAATGGTAAGTCATTAAGGTTTTAAATTAGAGAAATGACGTTAGATTTATTTTCAGGAGAAAATCACACTGGAACCTGTGTGACTGAAATAGTCAAGCAGGGATGGTTGCATAACTATATAGAGAAATTAGAAGGCCACTACGGATTCCAGACGTGACTTGGAGAGATGGTCCAAACTAAGGCTGGAATGATGGGGTTGAGCAGATGGAGACAGACTCAACACAGATTGGAATTTCCGATTAGTAAATTGAGAAATGTGAGGCAACTATGGTAGGGTTTTTGCCTACATGTCTAAGGAAATTGTAATATTTTTACCGAAGGAAGGAGATATTGAAAAGATATGGGAATTTACTGTAAAAGATAATTTGGTTTTATTCATATTGAAATAGATACGGAAATATTCAGCACAAATCTGACCTGTAATTCAGGCGAATGGGGTTAGGATAGGATCTGGAAGTCATCCTACAATGGGGAGTGGAAGATACCAGCAGGGAAGAGCACTAGTAAATGCAGCTGGTTTCACTTAAAGACCAGTTATGACTTAATTATCCATATCCACATAATCATGCCTGGAAAATAGTTTGAGCACACTTCCACAGTACTAATATTTGATAGTAGTACATTATTTGCTTCAAAAACCTTGATTTAAATCAATCTGGCAAGCTTTGCTGAGTTCACACTGCACAATTCCTGTTGAGGAGAGAAATACATAAAGGCAGGAATTTGAGTTAGTACACTGTCACATATGTGTGGATTCCACATGGTGTTTAGAAAACAGTTGTTGGTTGAAATGATTTTCCTCAAAGAGCCTGCAGAACTTCAGAAAAGGTAAGACTTTTTACAGGTATTCTGTGCCTGCTCATACACACACACACACACACACACACACACACACACACACACATAACACATACTCACGTGCACTCATGCACACACCCTTGCAAAGTTATTAAAAAACAAGTAAGAATTCTCTGAAAGAAGCTGCTGTCATGTAAGGTTCAGACCAGCAGTTTCTCAAACTTTTATTTCATAATTCTCTCAAATAGACTCAGGAAACCACTGAATAACAAAATCCAGTCCTTTTGTTTAATACTAATCTTTTAGAACCTCTCATGTAGTTATCATCTCTAAGAGCGGAGAAGAGTGTGAACCGTGTCCAAAATGTATCAGTGAGACACGCAGTCATCTTCCTTTTCATGCTAACTTCTCACCTTCATCCTGATCTCCTGCAAGAGGTAAGCTGTAGTCTTTCAAACAAAGCTCTGCCTCTGTAAACTTGTATGGAAATACTACAGCTTCCTAACATGTTCAACCTCGGAGCAGGAGCCCTCCTCCTGCTTCCAGGCACTTACCCAGCATCATTCCTCACTTCTGGTAATTCAGGGACGAGCTAGAGGAACACATAGAAATCAATCAATAAGAGCCCAGCTTTGCAGAAGAAGTCTTTATTACTTTATCCTACTTGGACCAAGACATCCTACAAGGTTTTAATAATGCAATCTAATGTATTTTTTAAAAAACATTTAAATTTTTGAAAGTTAAGACAGTAAATTGCATGAAAATACAAAAATGTAGAAATGTTTACATTTCCTGGTTTTTAGATAAGGAAGAAAGTAATTTTGTTATTTTGAGATTCCTATATATTCCCCAAGGTGAAGCAGAGTATCTGGTTTAAAATGGGGAAAAACAAAATGAGATATATATAGTGGTTTATATGGGCTCCTATTTCAGGAAAATGTTATTTGTGTCAGTTGTAAGGGAAAAGGTCCCCCAATGCAATATCGCATGGGTTATGAAAATAGGCGTTGACTCAATATTTAACACCAGTATTAGTGGAGTCACGCTGTAATCATCAACTCAGGCTAAAGTTTGTGTAAAGTTCAGTTTAAAGAATTGAATGTACTCAAATGTTTGCCAGATTCTTTTAGTAGAAAGTGAGGTGCTCTCGACATATTTCAAGGTGCCGGTGGCTATGAAGTTGTACTTTTTCTGTATCTGCACGTAGTGTCTTTTAAAATACTCAAAATATTTGAAATATGATTTTGCAAGATGCTATCAGTCATTTTGCAGTGGAGATAGCCTGAATGTATATCTGGTTCATAAATGGAGATTCTGGGAAAATTCTGCCTATTCTACAAGAACATGCTGTTTCATGGCAAACATATACATTTGGGGCTGTTTTCATAGGTTGGACCAAAAAACGTATCTTTTGCAACTTCCTCTCCTGTCAGTCTCTTAATTTTTAGTCCACTGCATAATACTGCCTCAAAATATGAAAATGTATGTTATTCATTTACACCAGAGTAGAACATAGATAATCGTATCAGTAAGGTTTGAAATTTCACAAAATTAAACCATTTTAGATGCATGATCGCAAAAATCTTACTTTTTTATTTTTGCAAATATGTACACTTTGACCAACACCTCTTCATTTCCCCCAATGAGCCAACCTCTAGTAACCACCATTCTACTTTTGCATCTGTGAATTTGACTTTTTTATATTCTACATGTAAGTAATATCAAACAATATTTGTTTTTGTCTTATTTCTCTTAGCATAATGCCCTCCAAGTCCATCCATGTAGTTGCTAGTGGCACAATTTCAATTTTTGTATGGCTGAGTCGTATTCCATTGTATAAATACCACAGTTTTTTGTAGTTATCAGGGTCTCCTAGTAGGTCAGGGGTGAATAGGGTTAGTGCTAGTAGGGCTAGGATTAGGAGTAAAGCGCCTAGGATGTCTTTAATTGTGTAATAAGGGTGGAATGGGATTATATCTATGTTGGATGGGATTCCTGTGGGGTTATTGGATCCTGTCTCGTGTAGGAATAGCAGGTGAACAGCTGCTAATGCTGTGATGATGAATGGGAGGATAAAGTGGAAAGCGAAAAAACGTGTTAGTGTTGCTTTGTCTACGGAAAATCCGCCTCAGATTCATTCTACTAAGGTAGTACCGATGTAAGGGATTGCTGATAGGAGATTGGTGATGACGGTTGCGCCTCAAAATGATATCTGTCCTTAGGGTAGGACGTAGCCTACGAATGCAGTGGCTATGACTGTTAGTAGTAGGAGTACACCAATATTTCATGTTTCTTGGAATATATAAGAACCATAGTATAGGCCACGTCCGATGTGGGCGTAAAGGCAGATGAAGAATATGGAGGCTCCGTTTGCGTGTAAATAGCGGATGAATCAGCCATAGTTGACGTCTCGACAGATGTGTGCGACTGATGAAAAAGCAGTTGAGGTGTCTGGCGTGTAGTGTATTGCTAGAAATAAACCTGTTAGGATTTGTATGATTAGGCAGAGGCCTAGTAAGGAACCAAAGTTTCATCATGAGGAGATGTTAGATGGAGTGGGTAGGTCGATGAATGCGTCATTGAGGATTTTTATTAGTGGGTGTGTTTTTCGGATGATTGTCATTAGGGTTCTTGTAGTTGAATTACAACGATGATTTTTCATGTCATTGGTCATGGTTGGAGTCCATGTGAGAATAATGGCAATATATATTGTTTTTATTATGAGCACTATTTTTGTAATTAGTCTTGTGGGGGTTTCTTCAAAACCTTCACCAATTTATGGTGGTTTAGGGTTGATTGTGGGTGGTGCTATGGGATGTGGAATTGTATTTAGTTTTGGGGGTTCATTTTTAGGTTTAATGGTTTTTTTAATTTATTTAGGAGGAATATTAGTTGTGTTTGGTTATACAACGGCTATGGCTACTGAGCAGTATCCTGAGGTTTGGGTTTCTAACAAAGTTGTACTTGGGGGATTTCTTTTAGGTCTAGTGTTAGAGTTATTAGTGGTATTGTATGTTTTAGAGGGTGGGAAAGTGAATATTGTATTTGAGTTTAATGGGTTGGGGGATTGAGTTATTTATGATACAGGGGATTCTGGGTTTTTTAGTGAGGAAGCTATAGGGATTGCTGCGTTGTATAGTTATGGCACTTGGTTGGTTATTGTTACTGGATGGTCTCTGTTTATTGGTGTAGTGGTTATTATGGAGATTACTCGGGGTAATTAAATAGTAGTATGCTGAGGGTTATAGTGATAAGGAAAGATAGGAAGTAGAGTTTGATAAGTCCTTTTTGGTTTGAAGTTAGTGTAGAGGCTTTTAGTTGAATGAGAGCTGTTGTTTTTGGTAGAATTGTTTCTGTTCAGGTTAGGTCTAATAAGGAGGTTGCGAATTTCTGGCTTATTGTTAGAATTAGATGGGGAGGTAAGCGGTGTATGATTGTAGGGAAGTAACCTAATAGGGTAGAAAATTTAGTAGAGTCTGATGAGTAGGGATATTTTAGGTTTTTTGAGTAGGTGTTAATTTCGAATGCGAGAATAAAGCCTAGAATTGTTACTATGAGGGCTGTTAGCTTTAGATATAGAGGTATAGTCATTAGAGGGATGTTTATTGGGGGTATGCTGTTGGAGAGGATGAATCCGGCGAAGATGCTTCCGATTAATAGGCGTTTAATGGGGTTAATCAGTATGGGGTTAGTTTCATTAATGTTTTTGAGGGGAGGGAAGCGAGGTTGTCCTAGTAGAGTAAAGAAAATGATGCGAGTGCTATAAATAGCTGTTATGGAGGTGGCGATTAGTGTTAGTAATAGGGCTCAGGCGTTGGTATAAGACGAAGTGGCGGCTTCAATGATGAGGTCTTTAGAACAGAATCCTGTGAGAAATGGTATTCCTGTTAGTGCAAAGCAGCCGATGATTAGGGCAGTTGTGGTAAAGGGAAGGATTTTGTATAATCCTCCTATCCTTCGAATGTCTTGTTCGTTATTTAAATTATGGATAATAGAGCCGGAACATAGGAATAGCATAGCTTTGAAGAAAGCGTGTGTACAAATGTGCAGGAATGCTAGGTGTGGTTGGTTGAGGCCTAGTGTCACTATTATTAGGCCAAGTTGGCTGGAGGTGGAAAAAGCAATGATTTTTTTGATATCATTTTGGGTTAAGGCACAGATAGCTGTGAATAGGGTGGTAAGGGCACCTAGAGAAAGTATTATTGTTTGAATAAATTTGTTATTTTCTGTTAGAGGGTAAAAGCGGATAAGTAAGAAAATTCCTGCTACGACTATTGTGCTTGAGTGAAGTAGGGCTGAGACTGGAGTAGGGCCTTCTATTGCTGAGGGTAGTCATGGGTGTAGACCAAATTGAGCTGATTTTCCAGCTGCGGCTAATGTAAGTCCTATGAGAGGGAGGATTGGGGGATTTTGGTTAAGTGTAAAGATTTGTTGTAAATCTCATGCATTTGAATTATGTAGGAATCAGGCTATGGATAAAAGGAATCCAATGTCTCCGATACGATTATATAGGATTGCTTGAAGAGCGGCTGTATTAGCATCTGTTCGTCCGAACCATCAACCAATTAGTAGGAAAGATATGATTCCTACTCCTTCTCACCCAATAAATAATTGGAAGAGGTTGTTAGCTGTGACGAGGATAAGTATAGTGATGAGGAAGATGAGTAGGTACTTGAAGAATTGGTTGATGTAGGGGTCGGAGTGCATATATCATATTGAAAATTCTATAATAGATCATGTAATGAATAGTGCTACGGGCATAAATATAAGTGAAAAGTAGTCCATTTTTAAAGCTGAGTGTTAATTTAAGAGTATGGATGGTGATTCAGTGTCAGTTTGAGATGAGTACTTCTTGATTTGTGTGAATAAATATTATTATTGGGATTAGGCTGGTGATGAAGGCAAAGAGGGTTATGTTTTTTACATAATGTTGGTACTTATTGTTTTTGTAGAAGTCTGTACTAGATGCTATAACGGGGGCAATTAGTATAAGTAGTGTAAGTAGGGTGGAAGAAGTAAATAAGTTTATTACTTTTATTTGGAGTTGCACCAATTTTTTGGTTCCTAAGACCAATGGATAACTACTATCCTTTAAAAGTTTGAAAAAGCCACATTGTTAAGTGTGGAGTGCATGAATTAGCAGTTCTTGCAATTCTTTTTCGGTAAATAAGAAGGTTTTATCTTCTGTTTTTAGTTTCACAAACTAATGGTTTTTTTAAACTATACTTACAATAAAGAGGCCCTAGGATGATTTTAGGGTTTAGTGACAGGAGTAGAAGGGGGATAATGTGTAGGGCTATTAAGGCATGTTCTCGTGTAAAAGTAGGGGTGAGATTGTTAATATGGTGTGTGTGTTTGCCACGTTGTGTTATGATTAGTATATATAGGGAGTAGAGGAGGGCTGTGATTACAATGTTTACTCCTATAAGCTACTAGCTAGCTGCTAGTAGAGAGATTAGAAATAAGGCCATAAGAAGTATTGTTGTTAAATTGTTTGTTTGGATTGCTCAAGGTAAGGGGAGTAGGAGAGCAATTTCTAGGTCAAAGAGGAGGAAAGTAATTGCTACTAGGAAGAATTTTATGGAAAAGGGTAGGCGAGCAGATCCTATTGGGTCAAAGCCACATTCGTAAGGGCTAGTTTTTTCTGCATAGATGTTTAGTTGGGGGAGTCAAAAAGCAATAAGTATAAGTAGTAAGGCTAGGGTTGTATTCGTTAGTAACGTTAATAGGAGGTTTATTGTTCTTTTTCGGAGTGTACCGAAACTAACTGATTGGAAGTCAGTTGTACTTATTAATACTAAGAGGACTATGAGCCTCATCAATAGATTGATACATAGAGGAATAATCATACGACGTCTACGAAATGTCAGTATCAAGCAGCGGCTTCGAAGCCAAAGTGGTGATTTGATGTGAAGTGGAATATTATTTGGCGTATGAAGCAGACGATAAAGAAGGTGGATCCGATGATGACATGTAGTCCATGGAAGCCTGTGGCTACGAAGAAAGTAGAGCCGTAGGCTCCGTCTGAGATTGTGAATGGGGCTTCATAGTATTCTGATGCTTGGAGTAGGGTGAAATAGAGGCCAAGTATAATTGTAATAAGGAGGGCTTGGAGTATGTGTTTGCGGTCACCTTCTATGAGACTATGGTGGGCTCAAGTGATAGATACACCAGAAGCTAATAGTACGGAAGTATTGAGGAGTGGGACTTCTAGTGGATTTAAGGGGTGAATACCTGTTGGTGGTCAGGAGCCTCCTAGTTCGGGAGTAGGGGCAAGGCTTGAGTGGTAAAAGGCTCAGAAGAAGCCTGTAAAAAATAGGACTTCTGATAAGATAAACAGGATTATGCCATATCGAAGTCCTTTTTGAACGGTTGGTGTGTGGTGGCCTTGGAAAGTACTTTCTCGGATGATGTCTCGTCATCATTGGTATATTGTTAGGATATTTGTTAGAAAACTTAAAGTCAGTAAAATTATTGAGTTGAAATGGAATCATATGATTAGGCCTGATGTTATGAGAAATGCTGAGAGAGCTCCTGTAAGTGGTCAAGGACTGGGATTTACTATATGATATGAGTGGGTTTGGTGGGTCATTATGTATTGTCTTGCAAGTATAGGCTTACTAGTAGGGTGAATACGTAGGCCTGGATCAGGGCTACAGCGAATTCAAGGATGACTAATAGAGTGAGGATGGTAAATGTGATGAGGGCTGTGAATAGACTAATGCTTGTTAATGCAAGAGTTGCACTTCCAATTAGGTGTAGTAATAGGTGACCTGCTGTGATGTTCGCTGTTAGCCGTACTGCTAGAGCTAAGGGTTGAATAAACAGGCTGATAGTTTCGATTATTACTAGCATGGGAATTAGGAAAGTGGGTGTGCCTAATGGTAAAAGGTGGGGTAGAGATATTTTTGTCTTATTACGGAAGCCGGTAAAGACGGTGCCAGCTCATAGTGGAATAGCTATGCCTAAATTTATAGAGAGCTGAGTAGTAGATGTGAATGAGTGGGGTGATATTCCAAGAAGGTTTGTGGAAGCGATGAAAAGGAAAAGTGAGATGAGTATTAGTGATCAGGTTTGTCCTTTGGGGTTATGTGTAATTATCAGTTGTTTTGATGTGAGTTTGGTAAGTCATTGTTGGATAGCGATTACACGGTTGTTGATTAATCGATTTGGTGTTGGGAATAGTATGGTGGGAAATATAATAATTAGAGTAGTAATAGGAATACCTAGTACAACTGGGATTATGAAAGAGGCAAATAGATTTTCGTTCATGTGTAGTTTCAAGGGGTTTGTTGTTTTTGTAGCTTGGTGTCCATTGGTTTGGGGGAGGGAGAGTAGAAGTGCTTTGAAATTTTTAGTTGAAGTAGTGCGAATAGGGTGAAGATCATAGAGAGAATGGTAAGGAGCCATGTTGATGTATCTAGTTGTGGCATATCACTAAGGGGAGTTTATAACTCTCAATCTTTAACTTAAAAGGTTAACGCTAGTTTAGCTTCTTAGTGAAATTATAATATGGATGCAGATCATTTTTCAAAATTCTCTAAAGGTACTAGTTCGAGAACGATTGGTATAAAGCTGTGATTTGAGCCACAAATTTCTGAACATTGTCCATAGAACAGGCCAGGTCGTGCTGATATTAGGGTTGTTTGGTTTAGGCGGCCAGGAATTGCGTCTGTTTTTAGGCCTAGGGAAGGGACAGCTCATGAGTGCAATACATCTTCTGAGGAGACTAGTATTCGGATTGTCATTTGTATAGGTAGAACCATTCGATTATCTACTTCTAATAATCGTAGTTCACCTGGTTTTAGATCTGAGGTTGGAATTATGTATGAGTCAAAGTTTAGATCTTCGTAGTCGGTATATTTATAACTTCAGTATCATTGGTGTCCTATTGTTTTTACGGTAAGAGAGGGATTGTTAATTTCGTCTATTATGTAGAGAATTCGTAGAGAAGGTAAGGCGATTATGATTAAAATAACGGCTGGGAGGACAGTTCAAATAGTCTCTACTTCTTGGGCGTCTATTGTACTAGTGTGAGTTAATTTGGTTGTAAGTATTAGTGTAATGATATAAAGAACTAAGGAGCTAATTAAGAAGACGATCATTAATGCGTGGTCATGAAACTGTAGAAGTTCCTCTATAACAGGTGATGCTGCGTCTTGTAAGCCTAGTTGAAAGGGATATGCCATGGAGATATACAGGATTTTCACTTGTGATTTAACTTTGACAAAGTTACGTAAGACTTTACTAATATCTCGCTCATAAAGAAAGACATAATGGTTATGATGTTGGCTTGAAACCGATTAGAGGGGGTTCGATTCCTTCCTTTCTTGAATATTTTAGATTAACGTATACTGGTTCTTCGAATGTGTGGTATGGTGGAGGACACCCGTTTAATCATTCAAGGTTTGTGGAAGTGAGGTCTACTGCTAAGACTTCTCGTTTAGATGCGAATGCTTCTCAGATAATGAAGATTATTAGTATGACTGCTGTTAGTGAGATAAATGAGCCTATTGATGAGATGGTATTTCATGTTGTGTAAGCATCTGGATAGTCGGAATATCGGCGAGGTATTCCAGATAGGCCTAGGAAGTGTTGTGGGAAGAATGTCATATTTACACCTACGAATATAATTATGAATTGGATTTTTGTTCATGTTGGGTTGAGTGTATATCCTGAAAATAGTGGAAATCAGTGGACGAAGCCTCCTATGATGGCAAAGACAGCTCCTATTGAAAGTACATAGTGAAAATGAGCAACCACATAATAGGTGTCATGGAGAATGATATCTAGGGATGAGTTAGCTAGGATAATACCGGTTAAACCCCCTACTGTGAATAAGAAAATAAAGCCCAGAGCTCATATTATAGCGGGAGATCATTTAATACTTCCTCCGTGAAGTGTTGCCAGTCAACTGAAAACTTTTACTCCTGTAGGAATTGCGATAATTATAGTAGCTGATGTAAAATATGCTCGTGTATCTACGTCTATTCCAACTGTAAACATATGATGAGCTCATACAATGAAGCCCAAGAAACCAATAGAAACTATAGCTCATACTATTCCCATATACCCGAAAGGTTCTTTTTTCCCCGAATAGTAAGTAACGATATGTGAAATTATTCCAAAGCCGGGTAGAATTAGAATGTATGCTTCAGGATGGCCAAAAAATCAGAACAAGTGTTGATATAAGATTGGGTCCCCTCCTCCTGCCGGGTCGAAAAAGGTTGTGTTTAGATTTCGATCAGTCAATAGTATAGTAATTCCGGCTGCTAAGACAGGTAATGATAGTAAAAGTAAGACTGCTGTGACCAAGACTGATCAGACGAAGAGAGGCGTTTGGTATTGGGTTATAGCGGGTGGTTTTATATTAATAATAGTTGTAATGAAGTTAATAGCTCCAAGGATTGAAGATACACCGGCTAAATGTAGAGAGAAAATAGTAAGGTCTACTGAGGCTCCTGCATGTGCTAGATTTCCGGCTAGAGGAGGGTATACAGTTCAGGCTGTACCTGCGCCGGCTTCAATTATCGAAGATGCTATCAGTAGTAGGAAGGAAGGGGGGAGTAGTCAGAAGCTTATGTTGTTTAGACGAGGGAATGCTATGTCAGGGGCCCCAATTATCAAGGGAACTAATCAGTTTCCAAAACCCCCAATTATGATAGGTATAACCATAAAGAAAATTATTACGAAGGCGTGAGCTGTTACTAGAACATTATAAAGTTGGTCGTCTCCGATAAGTGTGCCAGGTTGACCTAATTCAGCACGAATCAACAAGCTTAGACCACTATTCCTGCCCAGGCGCCAAATAGTAAATACAGGGTACCAATGTCTTTGTGATTGGTAGAGAATAGTCATCGGTTTATGAACATAGGTAAAATGGCCGAGTAGGCATTAGACTGTAAATCTAAAGACAGGGGTAAAGTCCCCTTTTTACCAAGTCCTGTAGTGAATAATCATTTTGAATTGCAAATTCAAAGAAGCAGCTTCAATCCTGCCGGGACTTCTCCCGCCTTTTTTTTCTCGCGGCGGGAGAAGTAGATTGAAGCCAGTTTACTAGGGTATTTAGCTGTTAACTAAAAGTTCGTGGGAGATGTATCCCTCCAATCTAGTGAGGATTTAGCTTAATTAAAGTGTTTGATTTGCATTCAATTGATGTAAGATATGGTCTTGCAATCCTTATTGGACAGGGGTTAAGTAAAATTATACTTGCTTAGGGCTTTGAAGGCTCTTGGTCTTGCTTAACCTAAACCCCTATAGTAAGACAAAGAGTGTTGGTGTGAGCGGTAGAACTATTGTGGATAGTACGATTGCTGTTGGTAGAAGGGTTATTTGTTTTGTGGGGTAGAATTGTCATTTTATTTTTATGTTATTGGTGGAGGGGAATAGGGTTAATGCTGTGGAATAGGTAAGGCGTATGTAGAAATACAGGTTGAGTAGGGCTGTGATGGCTATGAGGGTGGGTAGGATGAGAGTGTCGTTTTTTGTTAGTTCTTGAATTATTATTCATTTAGGTATAAAGCCTGTGAGTGGAGGAAGTCCTCCTATGGAGAGTAGGGTGAGTATAGTAAAAGTTGCTATAATGGGCATTGTGTTTCATGTTTGGGATAATAGTAGTGTAGTGGTAGTGGAGTTTTGGATGAGTAATATAAATATAGTGAAGGTTATTACAATGTAAATTAATAGGTTTAGTATGGTGAGGGTTGGATTGTACAGTAAAATAGCGGTTATTCATCCTATATGAGCGATTGATGAGTAGGCTATAATTTTTCGGAGTTGTGTTTGGTTTAGTCCGCCTCATCTTCCGATTAGAATTGATAGAAAGGATATGGTAATTATTAGGTGTAGGTTGATTGATGGTGAAATTTGGTAAAGGATTGAGATAGGTGCGAGTTTTTGTCACGTAAGTAGAATTAGTCCTGTGCTTAGGGGAATGCCTTGTGTAACTTCTGGTACTCAGAAGTGGAAAGGGGATAGTCCTAGTTTAATGGCTAGAGCTATCGTTATTAGAATAGATGCTGTTGGGTCGAATAATTTTATGATAGTTCATTGGCTGGAGTGTATTAGGTTAATAATAATTGCTAGTATGAGTAATGAGGATGCTGTGGCTTGTGTTAAAAAGTATTTGGCTGAGGCTTCTGTGGCTCGGGGGTTAGGTTTTTTCATTATGATAGGAATGATGGCTATTATATTTATTTCTAGTCCGATTCAGGCGAACAATCAATGGGAGCTAATGGTGACAATTGTTGTGCTTAGGACGAGGGTTGTTAGTAGGGTGATAGAGACGAATGGGTTAATTAGTATGGGAAGGATATGAACCAACATTTCCGGGGTATGGGCCCGGTAGCTTGTTTAGCTGACCTTACTATAGATTATGGTGTAGTGTGGTAGCACGGAGAATTTTGAATTCTTAAGGGTAGGTTCGATTCCTATTATTCTAGAAATAAGAGGACTTAAACCTCTATTATTTACTCTATCAAAGTAATTCTTTTGTCAGACATATTTCTTATTTTATGTTTGGGGTGGGATGCCTGCTGTTATGATGGGTAATAAGATGTGTCATATGCAGAGAGCTAGTGTTAGTGGGAGGAAGTTTTTTCAGAGGAGGTGTATTAGCTGGTCATATCGGAATCGGGGGTAGGATGCTCGGATTCATAGGAAGGATATTGTTAGTAGTAGTGACTTGACGATTAGGTTTGTTGTGCATAATTCTGGTGTGTAGGGATCGTGGAATGCTCCTAGAAATAAGATAGTTGTGAATATATTTATTATGATAATGTTGGCATATTCTGCTAGAAAGAATAGGGCAAAAGGACCAGCAGCATATTCTACGTTGAAGCCAAATACGAGTTCTGATTCTCCTTCTGTAAGATCAAAAGGGGCTCGGTTAGTTTCTGCTAAGGTGGAGATAAATCACATTATAGCTAGTGGTCATGAGGGGAAGAGCAGTCATAGTTTTTCTTGTGTAGTGTTTAGTGTAGATAGAGTGAAGGAGCCGTTTATTAGAAGTACAGATAATAGAATAATAGCTAATGTTACTTCGTATGAGATTGTTTGTGCTACTGCTCGTAGGGCTCCGATTAGAGCGTATTTTGAATTGGAAGCTCATCCGGATCATAGGATAGAGTAGACAGCTAGGCTTGATATTGCTAGTATGAAGAGTACTCCTAGATTTATGTTGATGAGTGGGTGTGGTATGGGTAGGGGAGCTCATATTGTGAGAGCTAAGGTTAGTGCAAGTACGGGTGCAATTATAAATATGGTGGTGGAAGATGTGGCTGGTCGTAAGGGTTCTTTAGTGAATAGTTTGATTGCATCGGCGAAGGGTTGTAGTAGGCCATATGGGCCTACGATGTTTGGTCCTTTTCGGAATTGTATGTAGCCTAGGATTTTGCGTTCTACTAATGTTCGAAATGCTACAGCTAAAAGAATAGGAAGAATGAGTGTTAAAATGTTAATTATAAACATTTGTTGAAGAGAGGATTTGAACCTCTGGGTATAAAAGCTTAAGTTTTATGCAATTGCCGTACTCTGCCACTTCACCAATGCCCTGATCTTGGGTAGGGTATATTTGCGCTAGATTATTAGGTTGAGATTGGGTCACTAATTGTTTGAAGGCGCTTTTTTAAAGTTGGCCTTATTTCTCTTGTCCTTTCGTACTGGGAGAAATGCGTAATAGATAGAAACCGACCTGGATTACTCCGGTCTGAACTCAGATCACGTAGGACTTTAATCGTTGAACAAACGAACACTTAATAGCTGCTGCACCATTAGGATGTCCTGATCCAACATCGAGGTCGTAAACCCTATTGTCGATATGGACTCTAGAATAGGATTGCGCTGTTATCCCTAGGGTAACTTGTTCCGTTGATCAAAATTTTGGATCAATAAGTGATACTATACTTTGGCTGGTAGGCCTAAGTTTTAATCACTCGGAGGGTTTTTTATACTCCGAGGTCACCCCAACCGAAATTGTCAGCTCATATAAAGCTTTGTTATCCCTTGGTGGTATTATTTTATGCTTTTTGAGTTGATTAATTAAAGCTCCATAGGGTCTTCTCGTCTTATTGTGTTATCCCCGCCTCTTCACGGGGAGGTCAATTTCACTAATTAAGAGTAAGAGACAGTAAAACCCTCGTGTGGCCATTCATACAAGTCCTTATTTAGAGAACAAGTGATTATGCTACCTTTGCACGGTCAAGATACCGCCGCCGTTTGATTGTCACTGGGCAGGCAGTGCCTCTAATACTAGTTATGCTAGAGGTGATGTTTTTGGTAAACAGGCGGGGTTTGTGTTTGCCGAGTTCCTTTTACTCTTTTTAATCTTTCCTTAGTGCACACCTGTGTTGGATTAACAGTATGATTAATAAATAGTTTAGTGTTGGGTTATATTTATTAGCTGTTAACTATCAGTATATTATCAGTTACTGATATAAGCTTGTGCAAGGAGAAAATTTTTCTTGTTACTCATATTAACAGTATTTCTTCTATAGTTAAATAGATTAGTCCAATAGTCAGGCTAGGAGTTATTTTATTTATTGTTGAAATTAAAACTTGTTTTTGTTGTTGAGCTTGAACGCTTTCTTAATTGGTGGCTGCTTTTAGGCCAACTATGGTTTAAGTTTTATGTTACTCTCTAGTAAAGGTTGTATCCATTTCTAAAAAGCTGTACCTTTTTAGACTAACAGTTAAACATACGTTGAAACTTAATGTGGTCTTTAGTATTGTTTAATGTTGAACTGAAATTCCTTTCTTGGACAACCAGCTATCACCAGGCTCGTTAGGCTTTTCACCTCTACTTATAAGTCTTCTCACTATTTTGCCACATAGATGAGTTTGTTCTAGTTACTGCTCATAAGTAGCTCGTCTGGTTTCGGGTAATTTAACTTAAGGTCTCTTTGCTAAATTATTACTAGTTAAATCATTATGCAAAAGGTACAAGGGGTAAACTTTGCTTTTTTCTACTTTTAATAATTCTTTCATCTTTCCCTTACGGTACTTTCTCTATAGCGCCATTGATAATTAAATTTCTATCTCCTATACTTTAGATGTATGGTAAATGTTTTATTTGATTGGCTTGTAGTAGTAGTGATGAGGAGGGGTATGGGCTAGATATAGTTCAAGATGTGCACGAGTTGTGGAATCTTCTAGGTGTAAACTAGATGCTTT